CGACAGATCTGGACACCCTCTTACCAAGGATGATGACATTCTTTGGCGATGGAGGAAGTACTTTGAGGAACTCCTTAACCCCGCGCAACATCAGGAAGACTCGCCTGTAGAGCAGAAGGGTACGGATATTGCTATATCTGAAGATGAAATTGCACAGGCTGTGACAAGCTTGAAAAATGGAAAGGCTGATGGAATGTTGAAATCCGCCCTGAAATGCTCAAGGCATTAGGCGAACAAGGCATGTGCTGGCTTACACGTGTTTGTCAAACTGCGGTGACTACGAGGAACACACCAGGCAACTGGAGAACGGGAGTTGTTCTACTATTCAAGAAGGGGACCACAAGGTGTGCTCCAAATATAGGGGCATTACGTTATTGAACCTCCCAAATGAAGTCTACGCAAAGATGCTAGAAACGAGGTACCGTGGAATAACTGACTCCAAGATGCAAGAAGAGCAGTATGGCTTCCAGCCCTGTCGAAGCACTTCTGTCAATATATTTGCCCTGCACCAGATTGTTGAGAAATCGTGGGAGAGCGTCCGTCCTGTGTACATGTTTCCTGACCTAGGAAAAGCCTAACACCGGATCCCACGTCACATCTGTGGTCATGCCTTCGAGCATACGGGATAGACGGTCAGCTGCTAAGGGCCATTCAATCGCTGTATTGTGACAGAAAGTGCTGTGTCAGAATAAATGGCGTTAAGTCGGAACCCTTCAACGTTGGCACTGGTCTCGGCCAAAGCAGCGCCCTTTCCCTTCTCCTGTTTGTGTTGTGCATAGTAAGAATAGTCAGGAGCTGCCAAGGCGATGAGCGTATTGGCGTAGGAGATGTGAGGACGTGAAGGTTAATGCTTGCAGACGACCTTGTTTTTGTAGCATCTTCTGAAACTGATTTACAGTGCTCCCTAGAAAGTTTCGCAGCCGAGTGCGACGTGACCGGCATGCGTGTGAACGCATCTAAAACGGAAAGCCTGGTGCTTTCTCGTTCTCCTGCCCGTTGCTCTCTTCAGATTAACGGAGAGAGAGTGGAGCAGGTGGAAAGGTTAAAGTACCTCGGAATCGTATATACTAGTGATGGGAAATTTGAGGAAGAGATCGACCGGTGAATTGGAGTAGCCAGTGGCGTTCTGCGTGAACTAGCCCGAATCATTGTGACTAAAGCAGAGCTCAGTCTGAAAACTAAGCTCTCAGTGCTCAAGTCAATCTTTATCCGCATTCTTACCTAGAGTAATGAGTCGTGGACGATGACTGAAAAGCTTCAAACCCAGGCGCAATCTTCTGAAATGGGTATTTTATAGTCGAGTCGCTGGTTTTACGAGTGTCGACATTGTTCGGAATAGTGACATCCGGAAGAGCCTTGGTGTACAGTCTTTGCTACTCCAAACTGAGAAGTCGCAGCTGCAATTGTTTGGATTCGTGTTGCGAATGTCTCCAGAAAGGAAGGCCAAGCAAGTGTTTCTTACCCAATAGACTGGCAGAAGACCCAGTGGACGGCCTAAATTAACCTGGTGCAAATATATGGAAGGAGTCTTTTTTAAAACTCCAGTTGTTTTCTGCCGAAGGTCTGACTCTGGCACAGGATCGGAAACGTTGAAGCACTGCCTGGGCTTCTGCCTCCGCGACCTGAAGGGAAAAGCGGTGTGAAAGGTTAAAAGTGAAACTATTACATAACCTGTCTATTTATACAAAGTTTATAAACAGTAAAGTTGATGATGAGCAATAATACTGCAGTCTTCTGTTTGTGGTGTTTTGGATCAGAATTTTGTCTTTTACGCTCTGGATGGCACGCAGGTTTCCAATAACACGTTTTGCCATTTCAAAGTAATGTTCTCATTCGCTAGCAAACGCCACGGTATATTTTACCAGGTAGAGTAGAAATGCAAAAATGTTTTGTCAAGCCTGCAAACCAAGAAATTTGATATTAGACAATGCCTAAACGTCTGTGCTTCAAATAGTTTAAATTGTTTCGCAAAGTTATACTCACCTGCATTAACCTGTCATTCGAAGACGACCGAAATCCCTTCCATCAGACGAAGAATAAGATTTAACTGAGTCGTAAGATTTGAGAGTGTAGCAATATGTCAAATAAAATCTGGATCGATGCACTATGATGTTAAGTATGG